AATTTTTAAATTAAATTTCAGAAATTTCAGACATGAGATCCCTAATTCTAGGCTGTGTATACACAGCTGAAAACACCCAGAAAGTGCTGTTTCCGGCCATCTGGGGGCTTTTAGATTCCAAAAATTTTCTGGATAGTCCTGCCGGCACTAAAACCATCCTGGGCAGAACCCTGATAAGCTTAATTGGTAACGTCAATATTTGGTCAATAAATTTAAGCCAAGAAAATACTACTTATCAACAGTTCTTGCTGACCTGTCACAAGGGCTACTTTGCCTTTTAATGAGCTCATTTTGAAAGAATTTGTCGATCCTGCACTAAGTCCTCGGCACGGTAGCACAATGCAATCAGATGACAATCGGATTTTTTTGTAGAGGGCGCGCTACTTGTTTCTGGATGGTATGGTAGAGCGGCAGAGGGCGGGGTCCATGTTCAGCACAAAGAGAGCAAATCTTGATGGCTCATTTTTGTACAGGTTGAGAAATGGGCAGTTGATCTGTCCGTTTTCATGCGTATCATGAAGTAAATTATAGACGGAAGCAAAGTTTCTTTCCCTTGTAATATAGAAAACACTGAGCGGGCGACCATACAGCCTCTTGGCCTGAATATTCCAAGCAGGGAACTACTAATTAACATTTCCATCTCCCTTGATTTGTTTGCAGGTAATCCACCCTCGTGGGGCCGGCCACTGCCGTTCATTTTACTTATGATCTTTTCTTACCCCACATCCCTTTGTTCCTTACCCATGCCTTTTCAAACAGTCCTTCCCCGTTCCCATTATCCAGCCACAAGCTTTTCATCCTTTCCTTCTTTCTGCAGTCGTCTATGCTTGCTTTTGAGAAACATTCTGCTGATATGGAAACGTCAGACCCTTCAACTTTTTGAGATAAAAAGGAAAGAAAATTGTGAAGAGAACAAAAGTATGACGGGAAGATGATTAACGCTGTGTATCTCCACCTTGGAAATGTCCGTTTCAGTGTGTCATCTAGCTTGTCGGAGCATAGAGCAAGGAACAGTTGGCGGCTATTGCCAAAAGCTTAAGTGTTGAACCACTCATTAAAATTGTGTTCTGGCCAGTGCCTTTCTTGAGGGGACGGGCGCATCTCCCTTCAAGGCCTGTGCCCTCCCCCTTGTGTCCATTGCTTAGAAGCTAATTAGAGACAGAAAAAAACATCTGCTGACCGTCAGTCTTTTACCTGTGACCGAACCCACTGCATGCCCCCTCCAGAAAATGAAGCTTGCACGTCCCACCAGCAAAATGTACCAAAATTACGCCAAGGGTTAAATCCAATTAACACTTAAAATGTTACATCCAGCACTAGGATATGAAATCAAACAATCAAAAAATTAAAGTGTTAAAACAGCATTTTCCCATTGTTGAAGCAGCATTTTAAAATGTTGAGTTACGCTGGATTTACCGTTTAAATGCTCAATATAACACTGAAACATTTAACCGTTGACTTCAACACTCGAAAGCCATGGTCAGTGACCGCACTCGCGTTATTCAACATCTGCCAGCTTTTGGCCTAGCAAACTTCGCTGCAAGCATTCATATCATTATTTTAACAGGACATTAAGACCTCTTGTTATCTTGGGTTGAAGCTGTTAGTTATTTGACTTATTAATATGATAACGTCAAACAGAGGCATTTGGTGGATGGTATCTGTTGGGATTAGCGTCTATTTTGAGAACAATGGAATCTTTATCAAACCACATACATCCACCAGGTTAGATTTCTCTTTGAGATTTCCATCAAGGATTGGAGTTTGTAGTCCTATTTTCAGCGACCTTTGGGGGATTCTTCAATACACTGAACGACTTGTGCAGACAGGTGTTATTGTTCATTAGAATACTGGTTTGATTTGTTCATGATCAGGTTTATTTTTTTCATTTGTTCATTGCAAGGTTTAGTCAACAGTGAGCTTCGTAAACAGTGATGCTATTTTGTAAGTAGGTAAAATAAGCGGTCCGTTATTGAAATAAGTAATCACTAAATTATACGCATCAGTGGTGTGTCGATATCCAGGTTTTGATCCACGAGGGAATTTTTTTTCTGAAAACTAATGTTTTTTGTTTTGTTTTGTTCTGTGTTGCTTGTTTTTGTTGGGGTGTTTGTGTGTTTGTTTGCTATTTCATAAGGAAAATTCCCCATCGCTCTAATGGGTTGTTTAATTCCAGTTAGTGTTTTCGATTCCTAAAGTTCAACAAACGAGATATTGACAACCTGTTGGCCCTGCTTAAATTTGGGAGACCACTCCCCCAGCCCTCACGTCAGTGATACGTATGTATTTGATCCCAATCATTACTGTTTCTTTTACTTCGTAAACATTCTTTCTACTTTCGACACCAAGAGCTCCGAATCAAAACGTACATGTACACAGGGGAGACTAGAGATCAAGATACAGCAGCGTTGGGAGTTAACTTGGGTGCATGCAATCAGGACGTCATGTAGGGCATGGCTGGACCATCCACTGGGCATTGTGCCCGTGGGGGGGGGGCTATGAAAAATGGGAAGGGCTAGAAACGTTGAGAACCATAGATACCAGATGTACAAGGCTTTATAAGGCTCACAGGTTTAACGAGTTTTGGTGTCGCTCTTTTAATCGAGACGGAAGAGTATAAAGAAAGTCTGGAAAAGATGGCTTTTCTATCAAAATGTAGTTTTGAAATATGAGAGAACCAATTGAAAGTCAGCACATTCAAAAATGAATATACCAGGCCTTCAAAATATCGGATAAAAATTATCCTCGATTCAAATTCTCCATAGAGTGAGGATGATAACTCTTGCATAAACCTCTACCGCAAGTATTGGTCTTAGAAGTACCGCTAATCCGTGAGAGATAATACCAAACATAACATGTCTATTTTCGACCCCGTTATCGGAAAAGTTTTGGATTAGTATCGGATTTAAACTAAAAATAACTTAATCGGAACCTACAGAGATAGTGATGTGTGTTGTGAACATAATAAATATCAGTTATGTAATCACGATGTAGTTGTGAAGTCACGTGAAATATTTCAGAAAATATGATTGGTGAGGAGCGCAGTTCAACTTAACCACGTGCGTCCAAAGACAGCAATATGTGTAAACACAGTTTTCCTTCATAAAGGAGACGGAAGATTATTCCTTCAGAGATTTTGTAAAAACAAGCAAATGTCTTTAATGTTCATATGAGAACACTCTCACATTTCTGTTCCCCGAGTTTCGCTCTAGCAAACAAATTGTAAAAGATGGGAGGTGGTATACAACGCATGTTACCCGTGACGTTCATGCTGGGATTCTTGAAGAAGTTAAGTCGCAACAGTCATCATCGCCGGTTACTTCAGATCACCGTCTTGCTCTCCCTGATTTGGGCAATCATCAAAAGACTCAAGAAGCAGCGGGAGTTGCAGGCCAATCCTGCCCGGGGCCTACCGCTACCCCCAGGCCCGTGGGGCTGGCCAATTATCGGTATAATGCCAACCCTTGCTCATGGTTACCCGCAAAAAATCATCACAGAGATGAGTAAGACCTACGGCTCAGTCATGAGTTTCAAACTGGGCAGTCATCTTGCTGTTGTCTTGAATGACTTTGACACTATCAAAGAGGCTTTCGCCAAATCTGGAGACAAATTCAGTGACCGACCTAAGGTGACTATGTTCGAGAGTATCCATCCTGCCGGTGCTGGTGAGTTAAAGCTGTAAACCAAAATGAATTAACACGTGTAATCATGATGGAAATGGTGAAACGAGGTACAGCTGTGAGTTTGATGAAACATTTGCCCTGATTGACATTAATGCATCCAACCGTAATCAGTTTGGCGAACATCTTCCCCTGTTTCTTCGGGCGGGAAAAACATAGTCTAAGTTTTAACAATGGGTTCAGTATTACACTCTCGGCCCATGTTAATTGCGTATTTCGTTCCCACATGTTGAGTGCTTGTTTCATTCCTACAGGTGTTGTGCTGTCGTATTATGACAATCATTGGAAAGAGAATCGTCGGTTTACCCTCAGGACTATCAAAAAGATGGGCATTGGAAAAGCAGCTATGATGGAAAGCAAAATTAGCGAAGAAGCTCGGTTCGTCGCACGAAGCTTCGATGAGCAAGGAGATCGACCCTTTCATCCAACGTACTTCACCAATCTTGCAGTAGCCAACATGATTAACTCCTTGGTGTTTGGAAAACGAAACGATTATCAAGATCCGCTGTTCCTCCAGGCGATTTCAAAGATGATGGAACTGTTTAAGGTGTTTGGTGTTGGTGCTGCAAATTTTCTTCCCAACGTGATGAAGTATGTTCCTGGAAGTCAATTTCGGCAAGCAATGAAGATCGTAAAGTTCTTCGAGGAAAAGTGGTACGGCCCTCAAGTAAGTTGTTTAATGGAAGAAATCTAAGCTGTATTTTCATTAAACAAGAAGTTGCATAACCTGGAAATAGTACCGGGCAGGAATATGATTTAGCCACTTGTGATAAAATTTGACTCTGACACCGATGCGTCTGAATTTTGTCACAGTTATTACTGACAATAGGAAAGAGGTGGCAACAGTAAGAAAGGCGCTATGGTGATTGTTATTTTCAAGTTAATTGAAATGAAGTATTAAATGATAATTAAAGAGTTGGGTTAAGAGAGTAATGATAAACAACCTTCATATGATGGGAAAAGGGGCAAATACTGACATGAATTTGTTGAGTGTTGTGTTTGGTTCCCTTGTTTCAAGCAACAGAAATTAACGACCAGTGTTACATAATAATTTGGCACAGATTCTCCAACACATCGAGACATTCAATGCAAACAACATCAGAGACTTCATCGACCATTATCTCTTAGAGAAGTTCTTCAAGGAGGGCTCAATCCATTATCAAGACTTTCCAGCCGTCTTGGGGGCCGTTGGTGACATGTTTGGTGCTGGTCTTGAGACCACGTCGACCGCCTTAGATTGGGTCTTCTTATGTATGGTGAAGTATCCTGAGGCTCAAGCCAAAGCACAGAGAGAGTTAGATAAGGTAGTAGGACGCTATCGGATGCCACAGTGGGGTGACAGACACAACTTGCATTATGTTATGGCCTTCTTAGACGAAGCTCTGCGCTGGTCTGCAGGAGGACCTTTTGGTAAGCCATCATATTGAATCATTAAGCAAAGAGCTGAAATAAAACGGTGTTTTTACGTATTATCACGCATGTGACGAAGCCAGCCATTGCGATACATGGAAAGTACCTTAATTAAGATGTTAAAGTTTCAATCCAAACATTTATCGTAATAGAATTGTTTTGAATTTATTCAATGACTCCAACGTTGCATTTAATATACATGTACACAGCAGAGAAATCGGCACACTGCAAGGTTTCCAACTTGTTCTATTTGCGTTTCTTCTCGACAGGTGTTCCTCATTCTCCAATCGAAGACACTGACTTCCGCGGCTACTTCATCCCAAAGAGTGCTGTGGTCATCGCCAATTTGCATGCCGTAATGTACAATCCTGAAGTTTTTCCTGATCCAGAGACCTTCAAACCTGAACGGTTTCTCAACGAAGACGGCAAGTTCGTTAAGCACGAGCATGTGGCGCAATTCAGCATAGGTATGTTAAAGAGCGATTGCTTGGTCGTGAAGGAAATATACATATCCCGTTTCACGATACGATACTTGTGACAAGAATATGACTTAACCGAAAGTGTAGGCCTATAGTTTCTCCAAGTATCTTTCTCGAAGTATGTGTCTCTTCGCCGAATGGTGAAGCTGGTGATACGCCAATGGCTTTGGGGGTCTCTCAAGCTAGAAAAGCTAGAGAGATTGCTTCTCAAGCAGTTAACAATAATACTCCAAAGGATTATTGAAGTTGGCAAAAATAAGCTTTAAGTTTTCAGTTAACCACATATCTTTTATCTTGGTTTTTTTGTTGGGATTGTACATCAGGTCGCCGCGCATGTCTTGGAGAGCATCTTGCCAGGATGGAAATCTACATCATTGCCACTCATATTCTCCATCAATTCACACTAACGGCACCAGGAGGCAATACAGACAGTATCCGAACTGACGGCATCATTGGTCTGACCAAAAATCCTCATCCGTACAAAATATGTTCTATCCGACGAACAGATACTTATGACATCACTGAAATACCTATGGATCTTCTTTCAGATGATAATAATAACAACAAGGAAGACAGAAATAACAATAACGAATGTAAGCACGGTGCTCGTTGATTTTTGACATTTCTATAGTGTAATTCAACCACCAGAATTAGAAGCCATAACTGCGGTAGCATAATGCTCCTTGACAGGTGGTACGCGCGCGTTACACGCCTCTTCGACCAATAGGGTATCGTGATTTGCTAAACGCACGTACGCTTCCAGCTGAAGAATGTGCGTGTGAGTGCGGTGCTACCGCAGTTTGGGCGTCTTATCGGATTAGTGTGTATACCAACATACATGTATATTATCATTTTCGTAAATGGATCTTAACTTTGTAAACTTAACAGATACACGTGAAACACTGTAAGTATGCGTTGTATATAGATCTGTTGCTCGTAAATATTTTGTATAAACTACACTCTGCATCACTGCTGAACTTGAAAATAAATCAGAAGCAGACGAGTTTAGTAGGCCTAGACGTTCGTCAGTTTTAAACAACCCCGACCATGAAAAGTGGCAAAACGACAACCCCTTCATCGCATAAATAAAGATTTGAAATAATCAGAATATCTCGCCTGAACAAACAGGCAAGAAATACGTTTATAAGTCATTTATGTCTCTACTGACTTTTTCTGTATCAAGTCATCTCGTGAAGAACATTTTAAACTGAAAACAGTGTATGCACAAGGAGGACCTCAGAGCCGTTCTACCCTGCAACTAGGAAAAGCTCCATTTTTGTAATGATTAAACCTTGAACTATAAACATTTATGATCGGAATGGAATGCAATCTTTTCTTTTCTAATGTTTTTAGTGAAGACTGACTTATATAATTATATGAAGTTGAGACTCAGTATTAAAGATTCTGTACATTACATTATTTTTAACAAAATAACTGTCGCGTCGTGTTTCTGAAAATGGTCATTGCACGAACACTGTTTGTGAATTGTAAGTTCCTCAAGTATTGACATTCTCATAAACAGAGATTCAGAATCCAGGCAAACAAATTACCCACTGCCTCTTATCAAAATTTTGGTCCAAAGATCGACGCGAATTCATACGCTGCGTGGTGCTGAGCCAACTTACTCACCTCGATATAGATGGCGCTCAGTCTCTCATCAGGGCGAAGGGGTGTATGACTATCTAAAGTTAAAGCTACGTAAAAGACTCATTTTTTTATAGGACCTTGCCAAGACCTGGAGTTATTTTGTCCCCTTAGAAATCTCAATTGTCCCTTGATCAACCTCTTGACTCGACACGCATAAAACAGTCGTGATGAACATGTCTGAAAGGTTTAAATTGAATGCAAGGAGGGGATTTGTTCAGTATGCTTGCACGGGTGTCTGCGATGGCGGTACGATGTTCAAAGTGAGGAGGGGGGGTCATCAGGAATCAGCCCTAAGCCGGTCCATTAAGCCCCACCCCATTATAGGCCATGTAAAAGGTGTGGGTGTGTAAGTGCCCCCCTCCCCTTTCCAGATGGAAAGGGGGGGGGGGACTTACCCCCGGCTTCCTCCGCCAGTGGCGTGTGTCATCGGCCATCCTGCAAAGGCTCAGACCTCATGAATGTTTCTCAGGTCATCCTAAACTCACTATTTTGAGCAATCACAATTTCAATTCGTGTGTCAAAAAAACAAACATATCAATATTGTCATGATCGAAAATGGGCATGGTGCACTAAACATTAAGACGTAATCTTAGCTAACCCGTTTTGGAACTTGGCGAGTGTGACGATTTTTCGTCCAGGTTTGCACGCTCAGACCCGTACCTATGCTCAAACTGCACTCGTCTCGTTCAAGGAATATCGAGCTGCGAAATATTCTTGTACGTCATCACCCACTTCATTTTGTACACACCGCCCTCAATTTAGTTAATCAACGACTGTTCATGGACTGAACGGAAGTGTGCTGAAAAACAGCCGTAGAAAATCAGTGCATCACTCGTATATTATTTCCACCATTCGCTGGATTCGAGAAAAATATGGATCCTAATTTCTACTTTAACGTTTTCTATTAACGATAAACGAATTAGTTAACCAACAAAAGAGATATGTTCTCATAAATATTATCTCATCTTCTTACGGTGCAAAAATATTTCTGTGTCAATTATGGTGGAAAAGCTAGAGTGCCCTAAAGACCAGTAGGAAACAAATTTTGAGCTGGACTTGGAGGCCTAACATTAATCAAGATGGCGACCGTGACAGCAAGCGGAGGTAAGCAAACGTCAAAATAAGAATCTCATCAGTTCTTTTGTATTCATCGTGTTGATTCATAAATTTTCCCTAAGATGGTTAATTTAATCCTTATTCTTTATGTTGGTGTTTAATTCGCAGATGAGGAGCTCCATGAAAAGCTCATAAGGACAGTGAAAAAAGAGGTTAGTCACTCTTCCAATTTGCCATGATGTACATCCTTGTTGTGCATGATGTGTTCGCCTAGTGATAGTGTGGGGTCCGACAATCTGTATGTAATGTTCGCCATGCGTGATGTACATGCATGATATGTGCGGTAAAAGTTCAAAAAGCTATAGGTCTAAATGCCACATGTACCATCTCCCTGGTGACGTCAACTCGGCCAATGAAAACACGGAACAAGATGAAGTTCCCCAAGCATGCCAAGCTGAATACTCACTGTGAATGTTCAATCATGCCATCATGGCCATGCTGATGCAGAAGCACAGGTTCATAATATTCATGGACATGGTCAAATATGTACATTAAAAAAGTGTCCTGTCTTTCAGTGTCCATGAGATCAGGCATTGTTAGGTTGCATTAGGGAAGAGTTCCATATGGACGCCAGTAATTATGCCCTACTGTTTCAGTGACCTATTACGGACACCGCTTGACAGCCTGTGCACAAACCTTATGAGACTAGTCAGAAAAAAGTGTTTTTGAAGTAAACAACTTGTTTTTTTTCCTTCTTATAAATTGAACTTTTCTGGACATGTTTTGCTTTCTGACGGCTAGGCCCTGTATTTGAACTCTTTCTGTGCATTATTCCAACCATCCATCCGTGCTTCAGCCATCACTCCAACAGGAGAAAGAGTTCCATATATGGATGCCACTTGACACCACGTGCACAAACCCTGTTAGACGGGACTGAAAAGTGTTTTCTCAGTTAATGACTTGGTATTTTCCCTCCTTAAATGAACTTTTCTGGGCATGTTTTTGCTCTCTGATGGCTAATGGGTCACTTTAGGGAATAATAAGCCTTTTCATGTTTCATGTGCACAAGCTCAGAAGACTTAACAGGGAAATCAATGTATGACAACAACGTTGTGTTTGGTGAGTGGATGCTCTCAAGTGTTATTGTTGTGGACAATTTGTTCCCCTCTAGCTTTGTTCACTTACTGACGCAGGCGCGTTAAAATCAACATGGCAATGAAACAGTAAATTGCCTTATTACTGGTGTCCGTCAGTATGGAACTCTTCCCCCAGCAGCCACTATGCATGAATCATAAAGCTTAAGAAGTTTGCTTTGGGAGAATTATTGGAGATGCATACAGTCACTTGTCAGTGCACTGGCCTAATGAGACATTTTGCTTTATGAAGGCAGTCAAAAAGAAGATTGAAATAGGCATAGAATGCAGACAACTCAAAGTAGTGCACCTTCAAGTGTTTTTTGCAATGTGTTGACCATTCACAGTGCATGAAATTTGTTGACCCTTTCCAAATGTGCTTTGGGTCGACAGATTTCTTGCATTGTGATTGGTCAACGGGTTGCAAACTCTTGGAGGTGCATTTTTGTGAATCGCCCGTATTTACATGGTACATGTAATTTCACATGTATACATGTAGACAGGTACGTGCATTGAATTAAAGCATAACCATTGTGCAGTCTTTTCTATGTACATGTAGGAATGTATGTTACTAACTTTGAGCCGGTAATGTATGTACATGTTTTGCACGTACAGTCACAATGTACTGCTACCTGTATACACACGTGTACATTGCTTGGTTGTCTCTGTCTTTGTTTTATTTTGTTTTTCATTCGTTGATGTTCTGGTTTCCAAAGGTCAAACAAATTATGGAAGAGGCCGTCACTCGGAAATTTGTTCATGAGGACAGTGGAAGCATTATCTCATTATGTGGTAAGAGATCAGCTTACAACAAATGATTTCTTAGTTAATACCCAGTCATGTTTAGCTGCACTTGCATGACAAATTTCAAAAACTCACCATTATGACACACACAAACATGTAATTATTGAATTGCTAATGAGATTGTTGAAGCCGTTATAGCTTATAGCTGTACATTCCCATGTAGGTACAACCCGAGGTCGACAAGTTTAAATCGTAAATGATTTAGTCCGATTTGTAAAGAAACTCAGAGTGTTGTTCAACAGAGCAATTTACTAACCAACAAATGTCTTCATTTTTCTTTCATTTTTAAAATGACAGCTGCTGTAGATTCTTGTTTGTCACAAGGGTTAAAACGTCGCATCAGTGGATTATTCAAGGGGAATTTGACAACTACATCATTGCTAAAGCAACTGGCAAAGCAACATCCTGAGGCTGCACAAGTTGCTCAAAAAGTGCAAGAGATTGAGAGCAGACTTGAGGAGGCAAACAAGTAAGTTACACATAACGGCAGAGGTTGTCATGTCTCAAGGAGATGCTATGTGTCTGAGTGATTCACCTACAAATGTACACATCCTATTTGTTTCTCAACTTACATACTTGTAGGACCACGATGGTTTCATCAGGTACATACATACAGTACATCGATTAATATGGAAGCTACATGTACATTTAGCTTCTAAACAAATTCCTTTTTCTGCCAGAAATTGTTGCTGTTGTGAGCTTTAGTTACACTTCACAGGTTTTCGTGTTCAAGACTACAGTTTTAAGCAAGGCCCAGACTTTGATTTGGGCTTTGAACATTACCTAAGTGAAACTAGGGAAACAGCCACATGGGCCAACCCATGCAGTGACGTACAGTGCTACAGCTGAGGAGGCACCTGAGGGGGAAAGGGCCTCCATTGGGGGGCACGTGCCCCCGTCCCCCCCTTCCCAGTAGTTACACCACTGAACCCATGCATGGGGAAACTGTCAATACATATATTTGTTACTGGAGAGTAAATGTTGTTTTATGAGACACATGTATACGTGTATATGGTATTCAATAAATAGTTGTGCATACATGTATCGTGTACGTGTACATGAAAGCATAGAAGTGCCCTGTAGACGACACACATGGTCAGTTGATACCATTGTTACCTGCAGGACATTAGTGACTTGCAGTGCATGGATGGTGTGTTTATTCAGTGAGTTGGTTTTCATGCTGTATCTTTCAAAAGCCTAAGTAAGACTTTGTCATGAACTTCACTCAGTACAGGTCTTGAAACAAATGAAGGGATTTGAGGTATTGCAAATGTAAAACAGAGATGGTTGAATCAGTGATGCAGTATAATATAGCATACATCATGAAAAACAAACAAGACATCATTTATTAATGGGAACCAAACCTTGTGAACGGGGTAAAGATTTTCCTTATTTATGTCTGATATTTCCTAACACTGCCTGATGCTATACATTTTTTTGGGGGGGGGTTGAAAATTTGAAAACGGAAGCCATAAAACATTGTTTGTGAATACAATATCCGAAAAGCTGTCTCTCATTCCACTTGCCATGCCATAAAAACAACAGCATTTCTACATCAAATTCTTTTTGTTTGGGATGATTACATTACACCAAAAATCAGACGTATTGACAGGATATATTCATAAATTCCAAACTTCTGTATACGAGTCTACTAGAACGTTTGATTAAAATGTCCTCCAAATAAAGTTGTACTGTACTGGTATATTCCATAACCTGTTCTGAAACAGCTGGAGCTGAACATCAAAATGATCTTTCAGCTTTCACAGAATAAAGGAATCAGTAGAAATTCTTCTGGAAAAAATTGAGCTTCTTGAGGATTTAGTAATGTGTGAGTCACTGAAAGGTATTTGCATTTCACACATCAAGAATGATGGATATCATCAGTTTATTAATCATATTGCGTGTATATATGTTGAAATAATATACAAGTCTTGCATGTGTCACTTTATTAGAACAAAACTACATGTATATTCATGAAGGATGATACTCCTGGGTTGTAATGCATCAATACTCATGGTTCTGAATAATTTAGTCATTGAATTAAACATGTCAGCACAGTACATGTAAATGCCAGCATAGTAAATGAGTATGGTATTTGACCAAACAGTTAGTAGCACTTACATGTACATGTATCAGTCTACAGACAAGCTTGAGTACATTTTTTAAACTAAATACAAAGGTCAAATTCATGATATAGTTTTTTTATTTAATCTTTTTCCATGATCAGTAAAACATGAAATGCTGTTTTTCTCAACTGCATTGTAGAAAACTTGGCAGCAGTAACAGCATAAATGGAGATAGTCCTAACAAACCACAGACAAGCATCCGAGCCACACTACAGCAGCGTCATTTATGGATCAGAGTAGCTTTGTTTGAAAAGCAGTTGTCCAAGATAATTGAGCTTATCAACCAGGAGAGCGGGTAAGTCTCAAATATATCTTGTCAAAATATTGCTTAGCGGCCTATCACGTTGCCAGCTAATTGCAAATGAATATCATGTCAGAGTGTGGGGCATTGGTATTGAGGAAAAACAGCAGGCTTAACCCTAACCCTCCTCAATCCTTCACCCGTTGGAGGACTGAGGAGTGTTAGGGTTAATAAAATATTTCATTTCAGCAAGTAGGTTTGGTTTACAACTTCTAAAATGTTCAAGATGTATTTTTGCGTTGGGGAGATGTTAATTTATATAACTGGGTTTGCCCTTACCCAACGTACATATTATTAATAAACACTGTATGCTCAGTGCTTGTCCGAGAACTTGCGAAAAAGTCACAAGCTTACTCGGGTGGGACTTGAACCCACGACCTCCTGCTAACTGCAGACGTCTTAACCACTCGACCACCAAGCTTGCCGGGATCGGCTGGCCGGTCCGAGTCAGGTGAAGCAGCGGGTACCCGCTGCTTCACCTGCACTAGTAAGCAGGAGGTCATGGGTTCGAGTCCCACCTGAGTAAGCTTGTGACTTTTTCGCAAGTTCTCGGACAAGCACTGAGCATACAGTGTTTATTAATAATATGTACGTTGGGTAAGGGCAAACCCCGTTACATGTTTTTAAATTCTAAAATGTTGCTGCTTGGAAGTGCATGTAGAAGAGGGTAATTAAGCAAGGAATTATATGGAGGTTGGCTGTAACATGGAATGTATCTCTGGCCTCATGGGGTAGCCACAAATCTCCCTTGTAATCCACATCACTGCAAAACTGGCAACAAAATAACAAAGTCTTTCAGATTAGCAGCAATTATCTGTTAGTAAGCATTGTGAACTGAACCTTGTGTGTTCATTAACCTCAACTCCTAGCACATTATTCCAACATGGATTTTAAATCCTTGTAAAGATGCAAATTGGCAGCTTCTCTCTACTGCCTGAGGTTTGAAGTGTCAATTGACTATTTATGTTGCACACTACTGAAGCAGTAAATCAATAGTATCTGGGCTGAAATAAATAGTTCAGGTACAGTACATGTACTTGTACATGTAGCGACACGTGTTCCTTGTATACCATAGGCAGTGCACATGTGTATGTTTGTTTAGTTGAGATTAACAGATGGTGCATGTACAGGGAGGAGAAACCATTACTACATCAATCAATTTGAACATTCAAGACACTCATTCTGGCATGAAAACTGTTGGCTTTGTATCAGGATAATAAATTCATGCTAGGTCTGCATAAGGGTTAGGGTTAATTTGTGATCAAAATACAATACAAGTACATTGTTCAGTTTATCTTTGTTTCTGAGAATGTTACTTTAAACATGTCAATCACTTCCCCTTGATATTGTACCTATGCATCTCACTTTACAGAAATAATTTCTTATATTCTCATTGGTTTGCCAATGATACCAAGATTGGAACCTTTACTTATTAAGCTCTGCTGCTTTCTTTGAAACAAGCCAATTTGTGTTACCGTGTAATATATCTCAGTCTAGTCGGTTGCAGTCTAATCAGTTGTCAACTTAGACTGAAAGGAATTGGGGAGGAAGAAACCAAATAAGGAGGGGTACTGATAACGAGATGATACATTACATGCACATGTGGCCACATGGACGTTTGTAATATTTGTTGGTACCGGGACATGTGCATGTAATTGCTAGATGAACGTACACTGGACATGAAGCTGTTGGTCGTTAGTATTCATGCATACTCTGCCTTGGATAGAATGAGATGAGTAGATCTGTTTAGGAAAGAAATCCTGTGAGACTATTGTCATTAAGATATTACACTAATTGTTATTATTTTTTTTAAAATTATTTCTGGTTTATTAAGAACACAATGTATCTGTAGCCCTAAGGCTAAATTGCTACATTGTGTACAATTTAAAGAGAACACCCAACTGGACACAATTACACACAATTGTAATGAAATGAATAACAGATAAGAACAAGTACATATCATAAAACCCTAATAAACAAAAGCCTGATTTAAAACATGTGAAAGAAAGGGCTACGTGTATATGTGAATCAAAATACTGACAACGTAGGGTATTGGACTACATGTATGTTCATACATGTTTCTCTTTGTGTTGCACTTGATGACGGAAAGTTTGTTCGAATTTCTTAATTGATAGGACTTCTGGGTTGAGGCAACCACTGTCAGAAACAGTCAGAACATTTTAGTTTAGTCAACGCAAAGGCCTCTTCTACGGTCATGGAGAGAGACCAAATTACACTTCAGAAGGGCATGTAATCTAAATAACATGGGCCCAAGTTAATTTTAAGGCACGCTTTTGAATACTCTGTTATCGGTTCAAATGTCATAGTATGCTTCACATGCAGTCTTTGAGTGTGCTGTATGCATTGTAAAATATGCATTACAGCTTTGCTGTTGAGTGGGTCAATATTTCGATGTTTCAATATACATGTATGTACTTGCATGTTGATCTTTCCTTTATTGACATTTGTCTCAATGTAAATCAGCAAATGAAGAACTTTATTGTAAGTAAGTACTTTAAGGAAACCTGTTATACAAGGTACAGGGTCTGATCTACATGTACGGTACGTAGAATTACCAATCCTTTCCCAGGCAATGTTAATAATTGCCTGTTATCTCCCAGCAAATTGGTGAAACTGCCATCCCTTAGTGCCTTTTCTCTCTTGTAGTCTTTTTCTCTAGTGTTAAAAATTTGTCACATAAATGGGGGTTTGTACATGGGTAATTCCAGAAATTAGGGGTCCAAGAGTGTGACATTTTTGTGTCCTTGTTACATCTGACCTTTTTTTATTTGACATGGATATATCACCGGAATCGATTTCAAACTATTACTACTTGTTTGACAGGTAATTTGCATTAATGTACCACTCCTGGAAATTAAAAATGTGTTCAGAACTTACGAAATCATGTCAGATGTGACAGGGACATGAAAAAAAGACCCCCTAATTTCTGGAATTACCCGTATGGAAATTGCTTTCCTGCCCTCAGGACAGATGGACAGGTGGCTAGTGAGCCACAAACAAGTACCAAACAATCAACTGAATAAAACATTCTCTGAATAGTGAGAAAGTTAGCCAACAATTCCTTCCTCCTTGTTCCAACCTAAAACAAAAGGCAGTCTCATTGGTTTAAGACATCATGGAGGAAGGAAAACAGATGTATGTACATCCTTGCACCACATGTGTCCAATACATGTAGACCTTCACATTTAATTACACTGTGTGCCATTTATAGGTACCACATGTACATGTAAGTGACAGGTATTCAAGAACTGAGGCTTATCTGTTTAGATTACCCCTGGCAGAACATGTAGTGTGCATACATGTACATGTATGTTTTGATGTAATGCCGAAATATTTAATTCGCTTGGAAAAAGTCATTTTTCCTGCTTTGCGACATCTGTGTACATGTATCAACGCAAGCATGTACAGTGTATTCATACATTAATGCACACATTGTGTCTGGGATCTGCAGTCATAAACCACTGCTGCATGTTGTCAAAATCCTAGAGGGAATGTACATGTATGATGAAGCATAATTTCTCTGAGTTGATCTGCACTGGGGTTGCTCAGCTACAGTACAGAGCAAAGAACGATCTAGCAGACATGCACTTTTGTTTGTTCAACACTTTCTGGATACACGTATTTGGGTCATTCCATGTGGTTGGGGCACAATTTGTGATGGTGTCAATTGTTACATGGGTTCCGTAAAAATGAACAGCTATTTCCCTGCATGTGGATTCCAAATTGACATTGTTATCCATCTTGCAAGGCTGAATACAGAGGTGTGTGTTATTTTACAGAATAAATGACCTACTCCACAGGTCCTGACAGGTGGTAAAAGTTACCCATGTAACCAGGACGCTGTTACCAATTGTGCCCCAACCTCACATGCCTTATGAAATGACCCATTTACATGTACAGTATCAGGGATTTCAAGAAGGATTTCAATGTCTACATACTGTACATGTAAGTGTCCCTTTTTGTGCGTGTAGTCTAGAGATTCAAAATGAAATTTGAAGAGAATTTTGAGGATTGCAATTACGGACATCATCCCAGCACTGACAGAGGATTTAATTAAAGTATCTTTACGTTGAGTTTAATAATAGGATTTCTTATTGTGTTGCTTTATTGCAGCAAATACTATGAGAAGGATGCATTGATGGCTCATCCAGCAGATGGTCCAATCATTGCATCGTTACTCGGTGAGTAAATAAAGCTGGTTCACTGTGTCTCTGAAGAATGACTCTTGCATTGTAGCAGGTTTTGAGACAACTGCGAAAGTTCTCTTTTTTGCTGTCATGTGCATGTTGGACAGTGTTTCTCTCTGACCATTTTAGTTGTGAATTATCAATGCCAGACAAATTACCACTATTGTTTTGCTGTGTTCTATCCTCAGTTGGACCCTGTGCTTTAGACTACTCCAAGATGAAAACTGCAGATCACTATTGGACTGATCCCCCTGCTGATGAGTTGGTTCAGAGACATAGAATCCATAGCATGAATCCAGGTGTCATTTCTACAACACCTGCATCGCCTAAGAGACCTGGCCTACAGGTAATCATTGTAGAGATAAAATTACATTATACCACTTTGTGAATTTTCTTCATCAGTAGAGGAGAAGAAATGTTTATGGGACAGTTATGCCATAATAAATATTTCTACAAGTGTTTGCTCTCTACCAAGAAAATTTGAAAGGACTCAGTCCTCTGGGAGAGCAGTATCTGCTGCTGTATTGCATGTAAGTGGTCATTTATTAGAGGTCAGTTAAATGGTCAGTTTTGGAAGACTTCTGGTGAGAAGGAGATTATGGATTTTGAATCCAACAGAGTAAGCTCAGCACACAATTAATGTACTAGTACAGTGGAACGCCGCTTTAACGAACAAGATGGGGTCCACACTAAATGTTTGGTACAGCGGTCACTCGGTATAGCGAATTTAACTGTCGCACGTTTCGTTGTCATGTTGAATAGCGCCCTCTCTTGTCTAACCGAAGTGCACCCTCTTGTGATACCTTGGTTTGCTGTTTTGGTGATATTTTGCAGTTGCATGCATTCAAGTTTAA